AAAACTTTCAAGTTTGTTTAAAACCTATGCACTTTCAATGCTCAAATTTCTCCACCCAAAATGTTCATGTAGACTGAAGATGAGGAAAGAACAAGCAAATTGACAATTACTAACATGAGAACAAGCAATCAAAAAATAAGTCAGAGAAAAATTCTTAGAGATACAGAGAAACAGTACCATATAACTATCATTTCATAACTTCTCTTGAATGATCAGGAGGAAAAATTCATACTGTTAATTTATTTATCATGTAATATTCAAGTTTGCATCAAAACATATGCATTTTCAATGGTATAAATCTTTCAGTAAAAAAAATGAAATCAGTGCTCAAATTTCACCCTCCTGAAAGTTCCTCTAAACCGAAGAATAGACGAGCAAGCATATCAGCAATTACTAACATGAAAACATACATATAAAAAACTGGTCCAAGAAATTTTTTTGGAAAAACGGAAGAACAACATTCATATATCCATCCTTCCATAACTTCTCCTGAAATATCATGAGAGAAATAAATGTCGCTAACTTATCTGTCACAACTTTTAAGTTTTCACCAAAAGAAATGCATTTCTAATGTTAAAAATCTTTCAAATAAAAAAAATGTAACTGGTGCTTAACTTTCTCCCCCCAAAATGTTCATTTAAACCGAAGAAGAGGCAAGAACAAGAAAATCAACAATTACTAATATCAGAACAAGCATAATAAAAACATGTCCAACAAAAACTCTCAGAGAAACGAAAAAAGTGCACAAAACTGAACACAGAAACCAAACACAGTGCAAATTGACCTTCTGTGGCTGAATAAAGCAATGAAAGACCACTGAGAAACTAAAAACACAAAAAAAGGCATAAAGGAAAAAACCTTCAACGGAGGGAGGCAGCTAGTCGACCGCACCGACAACAAGGGAGGCAAGCGCAACCGTGTTTCAGCTCTAAAAACACAGGTGACAAATGAGGGAAGGGCGAGGGTATTTGCGCATGTGGTCAAGTATACCGCTAAATGAAGAGGGGTGGTGACGTCAACTACCACTCGCAATGGAGCCCCCATCGCGGAACGCACAAACCCTCTCTATTTCGGCTTTCGCCGATCAATGGGCCGTTGACTATTAAATGCACGCGAAAAAGAGGCTTTCAAACGTGTCGTTCGTCGTTCCGAAAAACGAGAAGACGAAGGAACGAGCTCCCAAAAGAGCCCTTAGTGACAGATCCCTCCAGCAAGATTCTCCCTATAGGCCCTAGCTGCTGGAACTCCTCTCCATGTCGGCCCTCCATCGGCCGGAGATCTCACTATAGTCTTTGACTGCAGTCTTTCTCTGTTGTCAGTTGCCGCCAGGATTTCTTCCTTTCACAAGAGATCTACCTCTTGCATGCCCTGTCTTCCGTAAGAATTTCTTCTTCCGACATACTGGCGTGAGAATTCCTTCTTTGCAATTCACGAGCAACAAGCAGCCTTTTTTGTCTCCCATGAGAACTTCTTCCCCATGGCCTCTCGAGCATAAGCCAAACCACATTGATGGCAAGGACAAAGCAAGCTGCTTGTAAGTCCACCAACCGCAATGTCCTAAGGAAGTAACTGACAACCAAGGTAGCTAGGAAGTCGGCTCCTGCGACCGACGGCATGAAGAAACCACATCATTTCCGTTCTGAAACAGTTGTGTTGAGGGAGATCAGGATGTCTCAGAAGAGCACAGAGCTCCTCGTTCGTAAGCTTCCCTTCTAGCATCTAGTACGTGAAATTGTGTAGGATTTCAATATCGACCTCCAATTCCAGAGTTCCGTAGTTGTTGCAATTCAGGAGGCTGCGGAGACTTGCCTTATCGGTCTCTTTGAAGACACAAATCATTGTGGTATTCATGCCAAGAGGGTTATTATTATGTCGAAGGATATTCAGATTACTCATCGAACTCGTGTCCCTCCTTGTCAACCGTAAAGATGGACTACTTCCATGCATCAACATCCGATCCTCTCCTTCGTTTTTGTTGAAGCCATGGTTGATTCCTCCACTGCCAAGCTTTCGTCCAACATTGTTATTGATTCTACCTCAATTCCTCTACAAATTGGATGACTTGAACGCCACAAACTCCACGAGAAACTGAAAAATAAGTCTTCAGCCAAAGCTTCCACCGCTAAAGGTATCACAAAAGTCTCGAAATCTACAACAATTCAGTCGGCCCCAACTCGAACCATTCCTGAGAGTCAGATATAACAAACTTCTTGGTTCAAGTCAGTTCTCCTCCGACCCGTCAACCTCTCATATTCGTCAAGTATCGTCATTCGAGGAGTATGATTTTTTTTTTATTATTTTCTCTTTTTTTTTCTCAAGAAAATAACATTGATGACGCTTTCCTTTCTTCTTCATGCCGCCATAATTTTTGTCCTAGAGCAGGCCCTCCTCTAGAGCTTTTTCTTACAATAGGCCTCCTCCTGAGCTTTTTTCTGTAGCAGACCCTTCTCCAGAGCTTTTTCCTTTGTAGGTCATACCCTACAGCTTCCTTGTAGGTTGTCGACTTTTCTGCAAACTTCTCTGCGGCATTATCCATAGCAACCTTCAGGCTAATTACAGAAATTGTAGTCAAAGACAACCACAGATAACTAGAAGTGTCCCTAAATGTTTCGCAACATCAAAACCTCAATTTCTACCTCACAAATTACCTTCCTCATTTGATGATTTCAAATCCAAATTAAACAAGATTGACATCTATGTTTAAACTTGAGGGGGAGTGTTAAAAGTTATTAAAAATAGATTTATTTCCTTTCATTTTTTATTTTATGTCATTCATATTTTATGTATGTTCCTTTTGTCTCGGGACAATTATTAGGAATTGATTAATTGTAATCTTGGAGATATATTTGTTATGTTTTCCCAATTTTATGTCTTTCCTTTTATATCCAGGTTGGTATTAGGAATTGATTAATTATAATCTTAAGGATATATATGTTATGTCTTTCCTATTTTAGGATTCATATAAATTGTATTTATAACCCCATTTCATATTAATAAAGTATTCTGCTCAATTCTCAAAACCTACACAATGAATGCTTGATATATTATAGATTTATATTTTAGAGGGATAACCCATCATCACGACATGCCCTGTACAATCAATTTAGACAGAGACGTCAAATTTTTGAGTTGCTTTTGATATACTTTATAGAGCAAGCTAGATACAAAAATTTAATTCAGATCAATAGCAAACCCAGAGAAAGACAAACAAACAAAGATAATAAATCGCAGTTTGGGAAATCTCCTCAGCTATTTTGTGAAAAAGAAGATTAGACAGTCAAATTTGGTGCTTCCTTAGGCTGAGTTTGTCTACAACCGATCCACTAGTTAATTCACAAGTCAAATTTTTTTTGAGATTGTAAATCAATAAAACTCCCACGCTCCTTTGGAGTTGGTACTATTACTTCTAGCCACTATGCTTAGTACTGATGCAAAGACTAGAATTGGAGAGATTCAGACCCTATATGAACAGGTGAGACAAGGTAGCGTCAAGCAAAACCTCAAGTAACATAAACAAAAGAAACTTTTAAGAAAGAAAACTTGGCATGGGTTAGATTGAAAAATGAGGGGTTACCTAAAAATTCTTTTGAGAATATCAAACCTAGAACTAACGTATCATTACAAGTTGCTAAGAAAATCAATAATAATGGCCACAAAATTGACTTGCCTAGTGACTACAACATCTCTAGTAACTACAATATTGCCGACCTATCATAGTGAATCCTTATGTTTCCAACGAAGAAAGCAACGGACGTCTACCTCTTTAGAGGATGAAAGCAGGAATCCTGCCAAGAACAGAATCAAACAGGTTGCTTTCAAGCAAGTTCAAGAAATTCTTGTTCCCATCAGCTGGTCGTTCTCTTATAAGGCCTATTTGTATATTTATCTAGGCTATTAGTATTAGGATATTTGGTCTCTTACATATAAATATGTTGTTAAACCTAATTCGAAAACTTCTTTATTTGGTTTATGCATTAGATATTGTTTTCTTTAGTTTTCCCTAGCCATAGTGGTATACCATTAGATTTCTCTCAGGGGGTGTTATCGTAACCTGATTGGGTCTACGTGATAAACTAGCCCAGCTGTCCAAAGCCCTCCTGCGTCATCAACCCTTGTTGCCCACCTGGTGTTTCTGCTTTCAGACAGCCGTCCAGCAGTTGCCTGTGTCATCAACCCTTGTTGCCCGCCTGGTGTTTCTGCTTTCAGACCGCCATCCAGCAGTTGTTTGTGCCAAAATTTAAAATTCTGCCACCCCTTGGTCCGTCCCCACTTCATCCTACAACCCTTCTAATCTCCCCATCGATCTTCCCACATCATATAGGAACTCTAAATCGGTGTTACAAATAAACGTAGTCCCTGTAACGTTTGGTTTACTTTGAAAGAAGGCACTTGAAACTAAAAGCAGAGACGGAGATGGAAGTTTTCACTTATCAAGAAATCAAATACCATTGAGAAAAAGACCTCAGATTTGGGATGGATATAAAATCAAATAATGCCATGCATAATTTTTTCTTGTTTACTAGTAATATTATTGCTGACCATTATTAACTCCAACATTTTGGCTGATTTTTTCCTTATTCCTGTACCATAGCTTAACAACAATCAGTTTACTGGACTATAGATTCTTTAATATTCTTCCTACAACAAAAGAAAAGGAATAAAAATGAAATAAAAAAATAATAATAAAACAAACCAAACTCAATTTCATTTTAGGTCCGAAGGAAGTCAAGTTATTCCTTGCATAATTGTGCTTGTTGTGAAATTATTAGGATACAGTGTTAACTCAAAACTTTTTCCATATTTTTTTTCTTATATTTTTCTACCATGCTTAATAATGTACTATAATAATTTATTTGTACCAGAACAAGGATTCAAGCTAAAACAGAATTATAATAGAAGCCAAACCTCAATTCTATCCACATTGGTGTTCAAATTGGGGATTTGAAAATCGCATGTACCAAAGATCAACAATAAATACTAGAACTGGAGGAGGCACATACCTGTTCGTTTTCTTCGTCACAATAACCAACCAGAGAAACTAGGTTTCTATGATGCAACCTCGATAAAAGTTCTATCTCGGTGAAGAACTCTCTTGATCCCTGTAAAGAGCCTTCTAGTGCCCGTTTTATTGCGACAACTGTTCCATCAGCTAAGATTCCTCTGTAAACCTTTCCGTACCCACCTTGACCAACTTGAGAGGAGCTACTAAAATTATTTGTCGCCAATGCCATTTCTTCAAATGTAAACCCCTTCACACCATCAACTTTTATGGGAATTCTTGATACTGCATAAGGTGGAGGTCATTGAGGATTAGAGAACTTCGGAAATATACCTTTATTAAATTGCGCCCAGATAGCATTGAATGCTTAAGTCACGCCGCTACAAAAAGGTTTTTTTTTTCCATTAAAATGCAAGTATAAAGTATGTGATGACTAGTGTGTGCCTATTCCGGAAGAACTTAATCATCTATCTTTAGTTCATCCAAAAGATCCTCAAATCAAAACAAAAGAAAACAGATTATTCTTTAAACGAAATCTCAAACAATATTTGAAGTTTAGCATGATGCTTCGTAATTGATTGCATTCAACAAGGTTTTAGAATTTTAATGGCATGGCCAAGATATAAAGGGAATACAGCAAAAAAAAGACAGAAAGATCAGGTCTTTTAAGGGGAAAAAATGTACTAAAGGGCTAAATATTTAAATGATTGTACAAATCAGCACACTCAATTGATAAAAAAAAAAATTTAATTTAAAAAACTTTGAATAGCATATTCAAATGTTACCTGAACTTAGATTGTTGCAACTGATTCAAGCTTGGTTAAATTCATCATGATTTAGTGATGATGATGACACGCTAATAAATGATTCGCTTAGTATAATAGGAGGCTAAAAAATGCTCAAAAAAATTTATGAATTTCACAATAAGAAAGAATCTGGCAGTTGTCCCATGCTGGCTACCATTGTGCAACGCGTGGGTTAATTGCAAGCATAAGCACACAATATTACCATTATGAACAAGAATGTTCCTTTTCACAATAGAAGTTTACCATGTAATTTTCAACTTTGCATGAAATGATTCCATCCTTTTAGATTTATAAAATATATAGATAAGTTCATAAAAAGAGCAAAGCTGAGTAAAAGATACATATGTCAACTATGAAAGAAAATTCTTCCTCATAATGATAAGTTTTGATTCAATTAAGAAACATGTGAATCTTTGATCGGATGAGCACATTTGGCGTGCTAGACACCTCAGTCTCCAAAATTCCACCGGATTAGTTACCAACTTTTGTCACGATGGATTTCTAGGAGACGGACTCTGCAGACGGACCTCATCTTTTCCAATAAGAAATGAAATATTAAAGGAAGATTTACATACATACTACTCAATTCCTACGTATTTACATATCTAACACCTAAACTTCAATTTTTACATACACGCTACCATATCCATGCATGAAATGGTGTTTTTCACTTTTTCAAAGTTAAAATGGTGGTATTTTAATGGTATGAAAGATTTTAGTGGTATTTACGTAAAAGTAAAGTTTAAATGTTAGATATGTAAATAAAAAGGTATTGGGTTGTATGTATGTAAATGCCCCAATAATAAATGCATTTTGGACATCATCCAAAATGCCAAGCAAACAAATGACCAATTCAATATTTTGTTCTATGCCGTAATTTCAAATGTTGTTATGCAAGAGCTCTATTTCTGTTTACGCTTCATTTTAAATGTTTCTGACTGTTTGTATTTCTCTTTGCACTAGCATTTCTAGTTAATTGTCCTTATTATACTAATAACATTTTCTTGACATAATACTACGCTTAGAAAAAAAAAAAAAATCAAAGCCCCTTAGCTCAAGTCTTTTGCCTTATTTCTCTATGATAAATGAATTTTCTTTTAATTCAACAAAAAATTTATAGGCTGTTCTAACCAATAAAAGAAAAAAATCAAACGCACCTACCGAAATAGCAATAAAAATCTAATACTAGCCAAATCGTTGCGACCCTCCAACTAATGACATCAATTCTAAAATAGTAAATGTAATCACGAACAACATAATTCAATAAGCACATGCTCTTATTGTAATCCCAAGAATTTATTTTTTTATCCATTTATTTTTAGTTAGACTATACCAAGATGTGTATCAACAACGGCATATCAATAAAATTCTAGGGAGTAAGATTCGGAAAATCTTAAGGCAAGCATTTCCTAAATAAGCTGCAACTCATTGAAATTTAAATACCAAGGGTCCGTTTGGGACAGCTGCAGCTTATTAAAACTTGTTGTTGCGTAACAGTTGTGTCTATAGAAAGCTGATTGTCTGTTTGTTTTTTACAGTTTTGCAGCAACTGTGATGTTGTTGTTTCTGAACAAATGATCTTTCTACCTATGTAATAGAATGTTGTTTATAACATAACCAATCATGCTAGCACATCTCATACCTAAAAATAAATTTCCAGTTGTTTGAATGTTACAAAATAAAAACTGTAACTTCACAAAATAGTGAGTAACATAACAATCAAAATTAAAAATAGGACTATTAAAATTACAATTAATAATATCATCATATTGTTTTTAAGATCCAGATGGCCAATGTCACAAGATAATTCATTTTCTAATTAAAATCTCCACGACTGACCACTATCGGCGATAGAATCCTCGAACCGATCTGCCCACCTAAAGAAATCACAGTTCTCTATTTTATTCTTTGAACGCCTCTAAAATTGTTTCATAAATTTATGTGACAGTCGTGAAGTAAGCAAAGAACATTGTAGTCAACAGTAACAGTACAATGCTCTAGAGGTACCAGAAGTCCTCGAGCTCATTCTTTTAGAAGGTTCGAAACCATAAGGCACAAACCCTTAATGGCAACATTAATAATGAATAATAGTATAAGTACTCAATTCAAGTTTTATGAAACTGTGAGGTCTCAGAGAGTAGAGTATAAACCAACAAATATGTCATTACAAAAAGACAGCAGACCTTAAAAAAATGGTTATTGGTTGTCTTTAAACCATGTAATACAGAGCTCTTATGTTTACATATGCACATCACCAATAGGGTCATTCAGAAAAATCTCAAAAGTCACAGGACTGAAATAGGAGAATTTAGTTGTCTTCATTGGGATTTCATGTGTCTATAACCAACAACAACATATAAACCATCCAGAAGAACTCATAAGGTTCAATATCACATCACAACCCTCTAAAATAAAAAATAAAACATGCAATAAAAAACTTACGTTACATATTATACCCACGGTTGCCCCACAAGTCATCCACGTGTGTTCCATCGATCACTCTAATACAATCATAAACCATTTAACAAGGGTATTTGAATTATTGTGTTCAGTTGAATTCAAGAAGAAATGAATGAATATAATTATCTTAAAATATGGCATATACCGTTGGTCCTATGAAACCTTTATGGGGGTCCATTGGAATGTTGGTTCCTTTGGTTTGATAATTTCTGATGATAAACTGACTAGAGCATTCAACTCAGATGATAAATATCTATTATTTCATATGAGTGCTAAAATCGCTCAATGGCCCGTCTCATAGATTCATTCTGTGATAAAATGTAAAGGTTAATTGTTAACAGTTCTTTGTAAGTCATCCAAGTGGAGCCATGAAGTTCGTGATTTTGATGTAGTTCTTCAAAAGAACAATGAATACGAGTTATGTCATGCAAAACATATTGTTAAACCTTGTTGGTTGCCCTACAAGCAACTCTCCAACCCACTTATTGCCTATGTATGTTGATGTCATACATGGAGAGTAATATATGACTTGTAATACTCATACATTAGGCATAACAAAGTTGTAATCTTCTTCCGCATCTTTCTCTATCAATGTTATTCATTATTTATGTAATTAACACATATAAACATCATCAAATTAGCTAGAATCATAACATGATTTGATCAAAAGAAAAATAAAGAAACTTCGAGAAGCAATTAACAAGTGTCCAAGAAACTTTGAGAAGTAATTAACAAGTGTCCAAAAAATAAAACCAAAGCATATTACAAGTGACAAATATTGTCACTATGAAAAAACAAATATAAAATGTCCAACCAATAAAATGAAATTCATGCATTTTGACCCACCACAACTAACATCACCACCACCACCACAATTTCACCAAAAAGTCCACCCCCTAAACCATCAATACAAACATCACCACCAACCCCACAGGGCCACAACCACCAATATCACCTCCAAAACCACCACTACAAACACGACCTCCAACACCACCACCATAAAATACCATTCCATAATCAAGTATCAAAATTCTCGATGCATTTTTTTCCAATTTCTCACTGCAAAGGCAGGATTCACCATAAAATCAAACATACATATTCAAAACATACACAACACTCGAAACATTTCTTTTTACAAATCCAACTTTAGCTCACCCCTATATGCACATCAAAAATCTTCATAAAATTCAAGTCTCTCCAGGTCGAGTCTCCCGTAAATGTCAAAATACTTCATAAAATCTCAACCAATATTCACATAAAAAATGAATGACAACTGAACAGAGCAAAGCCAGAGCAAAATCGCAAATGCTTTGGATGTGAGGTATGTAAATATCCCAGAATGAAGAATGAGAGTTCAAACTATATTCCAAGTAGAGCAAAGCTCACAAACAGCACAAAAAATGAAGAGAAAAGCAAAATCCAAAATCCCATTTTCATGCTAATCGAATATCGGCATTCACGGTAGAGCAAAGACAAATTTTCTCAGCGAAGCCACACATTCCAAATCAACCTCAACTTTCAAAGAAAATTGATAGAAAATATCGTGAGAGCGAGAGAGTCAATCGCTTCTTTCGACACAGACGACAAAGAGGAGTGGCCTTAGGCCAGAGATTTGAGAAAGGCAACAGAGAGACTAGAGAGGCCACACGAGGGAGACAGAGGCGCGAAGGAGCTCGAACGAGAAGATGAGGGAGCTCTAGGGCAAAGATGCAGGGCAGAGAGGAAATAATACGAAGGAAACAAGGACCGCTGGTTAGACCTACGACCCAGGCTTACGGTCGCAACGTGGGATCTGTTGTTGCGCCACACTAATCAAATAACCATTTATGTGGTGTGAAAACGCGCCCCAATAAATAAGCCGTGTCAAACAAACCCTACGTCTCAACCGCAAGTCCTGCGCACATACATAGGCCACAAATATATATATATATATATATAATTTTATTTTTTTTGAAAAAAAAACCCAATGACTAATATATTAAAGAGAAAAGATACAGATAAGTTGTATGAGTGGGCCCAAAAATAGGTCCCAACTCACACGGTACAACACACAAAAAAGTCAAAAAGGGTACATATAAAAATAAAAAAAACTCAAAACCGCCAGGGCGCTGAAAAAATAAGAGTCATCCAAATTTAGTTCTGTCTCTGTCTCTATTTCTCGGAAGGGGTCCAACTAACAAATTGGTAAGGTGTGTATCATTACCGGAAGTAACCAAAGTATCATCCATAAGACTCCTCAGCTCGAGCAAATCTCCATTCTTCTTCTTCCTCCCGGAAATGTAAACATGTTATTCTTCATCCAAAGAATCAGTATGATGAGGTGGTAGAGCTGTAGTAGAAGGATTATCAGCCGTAGTACTCACAATAGGTTCTAGTATTTGTGAAGTATGAGTTGCCTCTACATCGGATACTTCCTGAAGATGAGGAGCTACGAGGTTCTCCTGATTATCAGTTTGAACATTATCCTTTTGTATGTAATATTCCTTCAGTATTGTTTTCTATGGGGTTTGAAGGTGTCAGCATCACATCAATCGCAGTAACAGTAACAGCAGTGTCAGGGGGGTCCACAGGTGCAACAGACACCTCCTGTCTGGTAATATCCTCCTCAGGTGGAACTAAAATATTCAGGATAGTGGGGTTAAACCCATCCTTATCTAATTGAATCTTAGCTTTCAAATTAGGATGGAGCTTGTGACATTTATCAAGGATATGCACAAATATCTTACAGTGGGTACAATATAGAAGTCTATGTTCTATGACGATTTGTTGTCAATATTCATTATGAGTTGTGTCGAGCCAGACTTCAGTAACATGTAAAGTAATATCCCTGTTCACAAGTATTTTGGTCACAAAAGGTCTAGTTAGATTGAAAGTGGGTAGAGCTAGCTTAATAGGGTCCCCAAGGATGGCCCCAATGTTGTAGAGAAACTGATGATGAAAAAAGTGCAACTTGAGACTAGGTAGACTAAATCATACCGGTACAGTGAGAGTTTCATGACTTGGGTCGATATATCTTTATGGCATGTACAAAAAATTCCTTCATGTACTGTACACATGCAACTATTTAATTCAAAGAAAAATCATCTCCTAATACCGAGATTAGACTTAATTTTTTTTTCCTAGATTAACTCATTCCTTCATCTAATTTATTAATAATATCTTGCAAAAAGTAAAAGTGCTAAAAATCACTTGAACAAAGAGAAAGGCATGACTTCAAAGATTATAATGGCGTTTTGAAAAGAAATATTTTGGCAGTTATGACATTTGCTTAAGGTATCTCTTATATTGCTTGAAACTAAAATAAAGTTTCATGCTCCTTTTTTCAAGAAAACAAATAGTGGCAATTTTGACCAACTATGTGTTACGATGCATATAAAGCCAAATTTCCCTATGTTTAGGTTACAATTACTTGATAACTCTAATAATTAAAAAAATGTACAAGTGTACTGCAAAAGATTTGACAAAACTTCAAAGAGGCCTCAGTTAAGGTGTAATCACAAGCTAATGTTAAATATAGTTTAATAAATATGAGAATCAGAAAATTTCAACAAAATATATTGAGAAAGAATCATAGAAAAAGAGAGGAGATTGTTAATATTTCATCTAAGTTGAGTTAGAAATATAATGATCCTTCATGCTTTCGAGATTTCATTAAGTGGTCCATTTAGGTGTGCTTTTAAACAGTGTTATATGGTTGTAAGGCGCAAAAGGCACTTACTTGATCGCCTTTTTGAGGCTGCTTGGTATTTAAAACGCCTCCTCATTAAAAAAATAGTTACCAAAGTTGATAGAGCAACTGCCAATGCCACCGATGCTAATACAATGCCCACTACAGCACCAGCACTTAACCTTGAACCTGAACGTGAAATCACTGAAAAAGAAAAATGAATCAATGACTGCCTGATATTATATAATTCAATTCAAAAGCTACATTGTAATAGAGTTTTGAAGGATGGAAGTGCAAGCAGTTTTGCTTGCAATATATACCATTAGAATAAAATCCCAAAGTGAAGTTTAGTAGTTCATATGGTCCAAAAATTCCTGAATCTGGAATCAACCATCCTGTGAACATTCCTCTGATTCGTAGAACCTCACTGTCGTTAAATAAATTGGTATTATTTGGGAATAATTTCAGCTTCATCCGCAATCTTGGACCTTCTTCCCAGATAAATGAATCAATGAACACTTGATAGAGAGCCAATTCAAGACCGGATGATAAATAACCGTCAAAGTCATCCATGTATGGAAGGAAATTTGAAAATCCTGGACTCTTTAATCGATAACCAACTTCAAGTGGGATGGAACAAAAGCAAGAGAGGGGAGAAAGAGGATTGTATTCATAGCCTTGATCACTGGGGCATGGGCCACAGCTTATTTTGGAGTTCCCTGAGCTACCAGATGATTGGTTTATTAACTGATATTGACAGTATTGCTCAATATTAAGTTGGTTTGCATTCGAACATACAGGATTGCCATATAACCTGAAAATAATGCAACATTGAACCAAGAATAATGATAAACATTGCCTAAATTCAAAAAAAAATTGAGAAAATTTAAGAAACTGAATCTAAAATATGGTTTAGGAGGAGACAAAAGCACGCTACAGGTGATAATATGCTAGTTCAAAGTAAGATTTTCAACTTTACCCCTTACACATAATTAAATGCATGTAACTATGTGCTCTACAAGTTCAAGTCATTACAATGTAACAATGTAAAGTGCTATAGAGCTCCAAACTTACCATTCTATCTATAGTTCAGCTAAACCATTAGAATAATATTACAATTACAAGAAGGAAGGTAATCAAAATAATGTATGAAAATATTATAAAGAGGGCAATCCATTATTAAAAAGTGTAACCTAATCTACATATTACAGTCAACCTCAAAGCATAACTTTCAGAGATTCAGAAAATAAAGAATCAAACTAGAAGTAAAAATTATTTGAAATAAAGCCAAGAAGCCAGTATAGGCAAAAGTTTGTGGCAACCCAAACAAGAATTTGCAAACACAAATATGTGCAATTGTATTTCAAACTTGAAAGCAAATACAAAGAATCTTCTGCCCAAGCGCAAACTATTAGTCTGAAAAGCAGAAAGAGAGGAGGCATATTTATAGAACAAAATTTTAAAAAAATTAAAAGCTAATAATGACCGCATTGTCAAGCATAAGATAGCCTTAGTTTTTATAACTTTTTTATAAAGAAGGATCGATTGGTCACAGCTTTTATGCAAAGAAAGCTTGTAAAAATATTTAAAAATAGCATGAAATAAAAACATACAAGATGGAGACATTTGCAGGAGGATTTAGAGAGGTAGATATGTTAGTGAGGTTATTATTCTGGAAGTCCCTGCAAAATAAACAGAAAACAGAACAAATTTATACGGTAAAAACTCCCAGAAACAACTCAGTAAAAGCAAGTACAGTATACTAGCTCTTACAGAAGAAGAGTTCTATTTCCAGTAAAAACTATACTCTTCCATACAGCAGTTGGAACAGATCCAATCAGATGATTGTTCTCGAGTGAACTGCAAAGAATGTGGAGCATGAAAAATTGGTTAAAACTCGGTTCCATTACTTAGTTTCCTCTATAAAAACACCATTCTAGGATGACTCTTCATAAAATGCATAGAAAAAAAAAGAAACTCAACATATGCTTCAAATTGTACAATCAGAACACAGAAAATATTGAACTGAAATAAAAATATGTTAATACAAAAAATATAGTATCAAAAAGAACAAGCTGGAAATATAAATGGCAGCAGTCATGAAAAAAAATGAACAAGCAAAGGTACACACAACGTTTTCTAATAAAGATAATCAAAATGTATACATGCCTGCATCTGTTACTGTTAAGTAAAAACAGTTAAACATTCAGATCAAGATCAACGAATGTTTTCTTACCTAGAATAATTTATTTGTTTTGCACAAAATCATGTGTAAGAGATGCATTTCTTTGTTTTGCACAAAATCGTGCATAAGAAATGAAGCTTCTTAATTTTCATGCAAGCATGTGCAGACGAGCGCGCGTGTGTGACTCTCTAATGATGAAACATTGGTTCAAACTAGGGTTAGCTAAAGCATTTAACAAGGAAAAAAAAAGATAGGAGCGAAGAAGATTTGAGAAAAAGGAAAGCCACTATCCTTTCACTGAAAGCAATACCATTTCATAAGGTAAAAATATTCCAATCAGTTGTTGTAGGATTTGTTTATACTACTTAGCAAGGCTGGCAAGGATCATCTACTTCATCACGATGCACACAACATCTTTTCGCAATATAATCCTATATTTGGAAACTATCCTAGAAATATCAAACAGAAACAATTTCACGTCTAACATAGGCCTACAGGACATAACCAATCAATATAAATACTACAAAACTCCCGCCTGTTGCAATGATATAGCACCACGAATTGATAATATAATGAAATAAGTAAGAATATGCTCACAGTCTCTGGAGATTTGGAAGACGGGAAAAGTTTTCAGGGATGGGACCAGTAAGAGAGTTGCTTGACAGGTCGCTGCAAAAATTTCAAATGGCTGTCAAAATCTTTCAAACAAATGAGATACATAACATATTCAGTAAGCCAATTAAAATGAGCATTCAAGTGAAGGGAATAATAGTAAAGCAGTTTGCTTCTGACATACATTGTAGTGATATTATTGGAAAGCTTATTAGATGGAATGTTTCCTGTCAATTGGTTCTGGCTAAGATCTCTGGAAACATGAAATGCTATGTTAGATTCACTAATTGTCCAGAAATAAAGTAGTTCTTAAGAAATGGCAGCAATGCATAAACTGCTACCATGGCCAGGTGAGCATTCTTGAACTTACAAGTAGCCAAGCTGGGGTATGCTACTCAAATCAGGTACTTCTCCTTGTAAGTTGCAATTTCTAAGACTCCTGAGAAAAAAGGCATTTGATTGATACGAAAAGCAAATATAACTCTTTTTTTTTAGTGATAAAATCATTAGTTTAATTAATAGAAAGAATAGCAGTCTTCAAAGAAAGAGCTTCAAAGTACATTAAAAATTTATGCTAATGTTTTGGAATGAAAAACAGGACACACATGAATTAATTAAGGATTATAATGACTTATAACTAACAAAGGCAGTCTTGCTTCAAATACTTAAAATTATAACTGGAAACTGTTGGCCTACTTATCAACCCCACGACCTATCTGATTAAAAATTGTCCAACATGAAAATCAACGGATACAATGCCATGCTAAGTTAGACTCGAAATGCCTTGCAAATACCCAAATTATCTAATTGCACCGTGTTTCATGAAACGGGCAAAACTGGCACGTCCAAAATGTCAAAAATGCAATGCATGGAATAGACACCCATATTGCCTAAAGTTTTTTTTTTTTTTTCCAAACACGCAAGCAAATACACGTGCACCATATATCCAAGACTTGCATCCATATTGCCTGAGTTAGCACATGAGGAAAAGACAATCTAATTGCAAGCTAGATGCAAAATTTAATGCACAAGGAAAAAGAAATTATGCAAATAATCAACATAAATATTAATTTTTATTTTTAATAATCTATCAAATTAAAAAAAATCTAAGAAAATAAATCCCCCTACAAAATAAATTCCACTTTTATCATGTGCTTAATGATTTAAATAAAATAAAATAAAATAAACTAAAACTAAAGATCTGTTTGAGCGGCTAAAACATTTTGCAAAGGAGGACATAAAATTATGTGGGAAAAACAACATTTTTAAAAGTTATTTTGAGTATTATAAATGATCTTTAAAAAAAATACGTGAAGAAGTAGCTTCCTATCAAAAATATTTATTTAAAACAGCAAGAGAGAAGTAGCCAAAAAGATGTATTATAACAGACTTAAACATAAAGTAGCAAGAATGTCCTAAACAGATTATAAATCTACCGCACCCTAACTCTCACTCTCATTCTCATTCTCATTCTTCACAATTGGTTCCCCGACTTTCCTCTAGTGCTGATCTCCTTATCCTTGCAAATGGGACTATGAACCTGCGAGACACACTTCAAGTGAAGCTGGGCAAATACACAAAAGGAAAAAAGCAAGCGAGGCTTGCTAGTGACATGGGAGCACGAGCAAGGTTAAGCTGCAGTTTCATGTCCTGCAGGTAGAGCAAAGCAATCATATGGTAGGCCATTCAAACGAACAAAACGTCAGCCTGATACTCGAGTGTGTGGGATGTGATGCAGTCTAACAAAGGACGAACATGAGTATTAGAGAGCAAGCCAGGCGAGCGGGATGAGACACTGGATCAAGAGCACACTGTGCCAAGACCATGCATGAATAAGGAATCTGATGCAAAAGTAATGCCAAGCAGAGTGAGGCGGACCATGTGCTGGAGCAGAGCTCGCATGAAAAGAAGCAAGTAACTCTTTTCTCCTCACATTTCCTTTTTTTTTTTTTTTAATACAAAAAGCAAAATGGATGAAATTGCCGGTGACGAAGTAAACAATTGGTCTGAAAATCATTGAAGAGTTTGGGAATTAACTGCATAAAGTACACAACCAGGATTTCAACAAGTGAAGGTTCTACATAAAATAATGGGGAATCTTATGCATTTTTTAACCAATATACTGAAACTAATATCTAGTGACAACCACACGATCAAAACCAACATTTAAGATAAAAATATAAAAAGCATTCACTTACATCTTCAAAAGTTTAGCCATACCACCATACGAAGCTGGAATAGAAGCCCCACTGAAATTATTATTATCTAGTTGACTGCAAAAAAAACAAGTTTAAAGAGTATTAAATCATATAGAATATTTAAGCACATAATCACAATAAACACAAAGCAATCAAAACATATCTAGACTACATTAAGAGGTTGTCTACTTCATTTTTTGATGCATGTAAATGTAATCTAGATTGCAACATTGATGACAATAATCCATTAATCATTATAAGCATGACTTAGTGTTATTATCAAAATGGGTTAAGCTAACACGGAGCATTTTTTTCATTCAGTTAAATATTTCAGCAATGTGATCGACATTCACGAATTGGTTTTTGGCATTAAAACGCTGCCACCATAAGATGCTCAGGAGCCAAATTAAATATTCTTTAAAATAGAGTGTCCTATAGGTTCTCAAATTAAAAAGAAAAAAAATAAAAAATAAAATAAAATAAACCACAAATGATTCATAGCTAAATCAACATAAAAAATAAAAGATTATTTACATTCAGACATGCATACTACTTAAGCAAAAATCAAATTCATCATACATATTGACCATCCAAAAAAAAGGAGAATGTTTTACATGAATTTCCAAAAAAATGTGGCATAATCAAATTAAAAGCCAAATAAGCACATAGGTGCCAATGATCTTCACTCCCTCTTAAAGCATCCGTTCAAACAGCATATCCATGGATATGTTAGCCTCATTTTTATTACTGCCTAGCTAAACAACCACCAAATAAAAAAATTTAAAAAAAAAATCTCACGCATCATTCCATAAATAACAACCTCAAACAGAAGTCCCCTACACAACAACCAACCCACCTCATACAAGAGCACACATGAAGGTTGTTTTGGCATGAACAGGCATTGCACGCAGCTGAGCAAAGGAACTTTCGATCTTCATATAATTTAGAAAAGTGAGCAAAACAGATGTTATAGCAGATGGCTTATTCTTTTGACTGTACGGTGCTTTGCCATGAACGTTCGCTGCAAGCAGCTAAGCACAGAACTCCTAACCTTCCTACAATTAGAATAAATCAACCCAACTCAGAACAAAGAGCCTAATCTCTCCCTTCCTCCCTCTTTCTCTCTCTTTTTTCTCTAAACATATTTCTATATATAACACACTCCCTGCCAAACATGAAAGGGAGATTACAGCAAACACAGCACAAACTCACACTAGAACTTGATCCATGGGTGGTAGAGGTCGATTAGTTGGTTGAAAAGCAGAGGTAGGTGACTGAAATGGATTGTACGTGGCTGGGACAGCAAAAGAAGGGGTTGGAATCGTGTTAGCAGCAATGTGGGAGAACTGGGAAAGCGAGGGCCGCAAGTGGAGCAGCGAGGCATTGTGGGAAAGGCTGAAATGGCCAGGGGACAGCAAGAAATCAACCAGTTTGTTGTTTTCCATATGATGGCGGCAAATGGCTGAAGCGGTGTACTGCAGGACAGCAAAGGGCAGCAGTCTGAGTAAGTGGCAGCAAGCAAGAAGGGCTGGAATAGAAGGGATGTAGTAAAACACAGCAAAAAAGTGCTTTTCGGGCCAACTGCAGCAATGGAGAATAATCTAGAGTGGTGTAGGGGGAGATGCGAAATCGGGTAAGGAAGATAATCAACACCTCGGGAGAGAGATGCAGTCGGTTCACCACCCAATCTCTTGGATACAGCTCTTTAAGGGAGAAAAATAAACGCCAACAGCTGTCTTAAACAAAACAGACGAAAAAACAACAAGCCTAAAACAAAGGAACCACATAAATAAGCCCTACATACTTAGGAATGGACCCCCTATAGAAAAGAGGAGCCAAACCAACGTGGTAGAGTCGATCAACCCTCCTAATTCTAGACCGGTTTGATCCAGATGATAGAATCGTGGGACAAGGCACCACGACTCTTTTCTCCTGCACACTGCAATATAATTCGCGGATGGTGTCAATCTCTCGGGTTGGGAGAGCTTCGACCATACCTGTCGAAACTTCTATCTCCTCGTAATAATCAGGTCAATTATGTTGAAAGTGGAGAAGCTACTGTAACTTTCGGATAACTCACTATTGTCGGCATTGTCATTTCTAAATACATCTTGATAGAATAAATATTCATTTACTTTTGACACAACTTGAGCTGTAGCTAAATATAATCGCAGATTCTCCCAAAATAACTCTTGAGCCACTAGTTACGTAATTTACCTCTCCCACCCCTTGCACTCGACTGAATATATCTCATGAACAAGTATGTAAGAAGGATTTAACTTTGAGATGAACTCTATGACAGACTGAGCAACTCTCACTAGCAACCACTCAAGAGAGACGTCTTCTTCTTCTCTGGTAGGGCATTGATCCCATTGAAGAATTTTCTTCCCCACCTAGCTCTAACAACTTCTAAGACTATGATTCATACATCATGTCGGATCATCTATCCAGGGTACACTACTGAATAGATTTTAACACCACACTGACTCCATATAATCACTCAGAAGTTGCACAAAAAAGTCTCATCTCTAACATGTTTAACCTCTCCCAGCAAGGGCAACTCAGGAAGGATTCTATCTATTTTAAAAGTTCGAATTTCTATTATCTAGAGTTGTCAGATGTCTGGTGTTGGTTCCTCAAACTTAAGACCATCTTAGACCACCAATGTGAATTCTATTGGAGTTTCCCTTGTAGCCTCAACTCGAAGCTTCCCTCCCTCATCAGTTAGGATATGTTCATTCTTCTTTGTGTTCTCACCTTCTTCAGTGTCTACCATGTCATTGTCATTTTCTTCAACAGCTCCCTGCTAAGTGAAATATATCATCCCTCAGGTTGTTAAATATGCGTCAATATGCCCAAATTTGTAACACTTGAAAACTTTATAGTTGGGACAAATTTAGGAATGCCAGTTCGCTCCACCTGTTCTTCGCTCTGCATCAGTTTCTCCTCAGGTGGGGTCGTCTTGGATGCTCCACTGGGTATACTCTGGCTCTAAAATCCGAGAGTTGAACCCTGCTTGTAAGATGTGGTGGTCTCTCCACATTTGAAACTGGTGTATGAGCATCTGGTATGTAGTAAACTGATAGGAACTGGCGTTACATCTCTCATTTTATATGGGACCATGTAGTAAATTTACTCTTCTCTTCTCATTTTTGAAGAACCTTCGAGTTTGCCCATTACCGAGATGCACTCTTCCTTAACATGCGGGAGACTAGTTTCACCATTCCGTCCAGTGGGAGATCGTGACACCAAAAATATATTCTATGGTTTAGAGCCACTCGACGACCTCATACCCAAAGAAATATGGCAAATCCACTTTTACTTCAAAATTTTAGCTTCTCATATATTTCAGATCGAGTCTTCGTGGTAGAGGCTCTTCATACCTGACATCCGTATGGTGGAAGAGATTCACTTCATTCCTTTGATCTAACAAGTCACCATTGTGACTACGAGTGACCCGTTGGATGGTCTCCTTTCCTCAACTTCATCAAGCCGTAGTAACACTCGACAGAGTTGTTGATGTATCTCTTCCACAGTAAACTCATTATCGGTGTTAATCTATTATCTCCGTGGGGGGTACGATTAGGATTTGGGTTTGGCTAAGTGGAAGGGGAGTATATATGGATCATGTAAAGTGTGACAGAAAATTTGTGGGTGGAGATAAGATTGGATATTAGCAGATGTCAGAAATCCTAAGATGGTAAAAAGTTAGGCTAACTCTGATACCAAATGATACCAAAGTTAACTGAAATACAATAAGAAAAACAAGTACTATAATTGAAAGCAAATAAACAGTTACAATCAAACACACTTGAAATGAAAAATACAACAAACATGACACAAACTCCCACTAGGGCTTGATCCATGGGTGGTGGTGGTGGGCTAAGTGGTTGGGGAGTGGAGGTAGATGGCTTAAATGGATTGTAGGTGATTGGGGAAGTAAAAGGAAGGACTGGAATCGCGTTGGCAGCAAAGCGGAGGGTTGGAACATCGAGGGCAGAAAGTGGGGTGACAAGCAGAGCTGTGAAGCACTGACAGCAAGAAAACAACATATTTTTTGTTTTTTGGATGACGAAAGCGAATGGGCAAAGCGTGGGACCGCAGGATAGCAAAGGGCGGTTGCCCAGAGGCGGTGGCAGCGAGCAAGAAGGGCTAGAATAAGAAGACTACAATGGAAAACAACAAACGAGTGTTGTTTGGGGCGGCTGCATCAAGGGAAAATGATCGGGAACATCGTGGGGGAAGATGTGGAAGGGGATAGGGATAGGGAAGATAATCACCACCTCAAGAGAAAGATACAACCAGAGCGCCACCCAATCCCTCGGATACAGCTCTTGAAGGGAGAATGGACACTGGCGGTTGTCCTAAACAAAACACATAAATAAGCCCTGGATACTTGAATTGGGTCCCCTATGGAAAGGAGACACCAAATCAAGTGGGAGAGCAGCCTTCATAGGTTTGGACCGGTTCAGTCCAAATGATAGAATCGAGGGTCGGGGCTCAACGACTCTTTAAGCCAGCGCACTGTAGCATAAATCGCGCTCTAGCGTCAATTAGCTATTGTAATGATTCAAGCAAAGGTATTCAGTGCTATTCAGAAAATGTTGTTTCTTTCTACCAAGCTGAAAATAAAGCAGGTGCTATAATTCACAAAGATGAAAGCCCATACAACAAAACCAGCATATTTCAGCTGTCATGTAAAAAATGCAGATTGAGGGTGAATATAGCATACAGAATAAGCAAGCTCGGTGTCCTTGATAGTTCTGGGGGAAGAAATCCCGTTAAGTTGTTATTGTCCAGCAACCTGTATATCAAATCATTTTGTTCATAAAAAAGGCACAAGCATACAACCATGAGCTGATGAAAATTGATTTAAAACATACTGCTTAGGTAAAGAATGCAGCTTACAAGTGAACAAGACTAGGAAGTCTTGAAAGTTCCGGTGGGATTTGCCCGCTCAGTGAATTATTGTTCATGTGGCTGATTGGTAGAATGTTTAGTATGAAACAAGAAAAAAAATTGAATCCCTTCATTAATCAAGAATTTTTCGCAATTACGCAAATCATTAATACTTACAAATGACGTGTTTTATTCAATAATGCAAATGATTTGGGTATCGGCCCCGATATATTGTTCGTATCTATCTGAATCCTATCTAAATTAGGAAGATACCCAAGCTCCACTGGTAAAGGACCAGATAACTGATTACCATTCAGAAGCCTGCAAACAAAATAACGGATAAATAATTGATATAAGAGATTGCATGAAACTATATTTTTTTATTATTCTACGATGACCTTGAGACTATAGATTAAACCTGTGTGTGAGTGTATGCATTCACACTTGCACAATATATTGACTTGACATGTAAGCTTGAATTCAAGACTGTTTTCAAGGAAAATTGATATTAAGGTTCCCCTAAGAACAGTGCTACAGCCCCTAAGAACAGTGCTCCCGCTACAAAAATGATATTAAGGTTCCACTAAGAACAATGCTACAGCTCCTAAGAACCCTTCCCCTTCCAAACTGTTTTCAAGGAGAATTGGAGCCCAATTTTTTGTACTACATTTTGCAACCTCCAATCATAATCTGCTACGCGGTGTTTTGGAGAATTTTAGAAGGGACATATCAAGTAAAGATTTCATCATTAATTTAGAAACCAGAGACAAAAAAGGGAATGTATGATTTATTATTTTCTCTTTGTCAAAACCTGTACGTACTAAGTGAACTCATTTGTAAAACATGAAAATCAGCTGGGATCCTGATAGACTACCAATAGTTAGGAAAAAATACCAAAAATATAAATTCATTTGTCTATATTTATATTCCACTCCATGCAAAATATACTTACAGAAGCTTCAACGATTTAATACTGCCTATCTCCTTTGGTATACTGCCACTAATCTGATTCCACATGACATCCCTTCAATAAATGTAAGCCAATAAATAAAAATAAGATTAGCTGAAAATTTGAAATCTAGAAAAAATTAATGGCAATAGTACATACTATAACTCCAAGGAAAAGAAACAAAATATCAAAGACAAACAAGGAAAAGAAATAAATAATACGGATATAATTCATACAGTATTTCTGATTATGTAAAACGGAATTAAGCTTTGCAGTTTCTCACAATATCTTCAGGTAAGAGAGCTGACCAAACTCGGGAGCTAAACTTCCAGAAAAATTCATCTTTAGCAGCTGCCTGTAGACGAGATACTTGGCTTCAGAAAAAATGGTCAAACACGTAGAAATCAAACATCAAACTTTGCAACCTTATCAAGGACACAAGGCTAATAAGAAAAAAAAGAGGAGGGCCTTTTATATAGCACAAGCCACGAATGAAACTGCTGTTGCAACCAATTAACCTTGCTGTTTTTGGTAATTATGCGGGATTATTTTTAGTTTGATCCGATAAATCCCACAAACACTGCAATCATAGACTTACCATACTTAAATGACAATCCTGGCCTGCTTTTATTCATAAAACCCACCAATCGGTGATTATAATATGGCAATAGCCCCTAAAAACTGGCCATGGGAAGTAAACATTATGAGAACTGCGTTGAAGATCCATATAATGCATGTTTACTAGAATCTAAAGAACATGCAATAATCTAAAAAATTCATAGGGAAATCATTATGCAACTATTTACGCAGAACTGTTAATATGCACACTTCTAACCTAACAATATAAAACCATCAATAGTAGTCCAAGCTTAATAAAGTAAAACATAATAAAGAGTACAATCAGATAAGAAATATTCCTATAATGTAGAAACATAATTACTACCTCAAATCTCTTTTTTATTTATTAAACCGACTCCCAATCTCCCAATCTTTTAGGAACAAATGTTTGTTGGTCTTAATAGCTGCTAGAAGTTAATATACTCTAGCATTAATATTTTACTAGAGTTAAATTTGAAATAAATAAATCAAACTTTAACTTCAGATAATTTATATATTTTTCCTTCACTACCTTCAAACTCCTTGTTCCGAACAAATATCGTTTTACATGTTTATTTTGATATGAAAACAATAAACAATACTTAATACATTTAACTAAATGGGTTAAATTTACAACATAAAATTAAATTCTAAACTCACTTTAATGTCACAGACTAACTTTGCTCTAGTCCCTGTACGGCTTTAGTGCTCTCCTTTAGCACTAAATCAGCCTAATCTTCACAATGCTTGGACTTGTGAGCACCAAACACTCATAAGAAGAAGAGTAGAGAGAAATGAACACTTCACACTTGAATACTTAGAAGCTTTGATTGACTGCTTGGGTGATTACAAATGAGGGGAGATGCTCATATTTATAGCCCCCTCCAAGCCTAATGGAAAATTCTAGAATACATTAGATTATTCTAGTTTTTAGAGAGTAATACACTTCTCTCTTATGTACATACATAACACTATAACTTTCTAGGTTACCCTTGATTTTTTCCTTGGAGCTTTCCCTTCTAGCATTCTCCGGAATATGGTGGAATCTTCTAGAGTCCCTTGGAAGCTTTTCTATTTTCTGGCACTCTCTAGAACTTTCCATCTCATGAGGTTCCTGTCACTTTCTAGAATATTCTCTCCCCCACTTAAACCCACAATGCCCTCATTGCGGCTACCCCTGTACTTTTGAAACTGCCACCTCGATTTGCCCCCAGACTTGACAAACTTTGGTTTCTCCTTGGTCTTATGGGAGGGTGGTGTCATGCAGCAAGTCTTCCTGGCTGGCGGCTCATCCCTTGCCTCCAACCTTGTTGAACCATCTTTCTTCTTTCTTGGCGGTGGTTCGTTAGGAACCTCCACCACTTTCTTTGGTACCCCAACTCCTTCGGTCTTTTCTCCTGCGTTAGTATCATGAAGGAAAGTCATGTTGTCTCTCTTGTCCTGGGAAATATCATCCTTGAGATTGATTGTCAATAGCATTTTGGATCTTTGCTTACTTAACCTTATTATCGGTATTGAGTAAGGTTAACTCCCTTCCGTGATGCACAGGCTATTGGTGAATGGCATTGGAAATGCTCTTGATTGCTCCAAGAAGTTTATTCCTAGGACAACTCTGTAATCATCCGAAGCAATGCCAGAGAAGTCTAGAGTACCTGGCCATGCCCCAATGTTGGTCTTGACTCCCTTAGCCACTCAATCGATTGACATCTCAGCTGAGTTGATAACTTTAATGGATCCCCCTCCTTTAGTCATCTGAAACCCCAACCTCTTTGCTTCCTCGCTGGAGATAAAATTGTCGGAAGCACCCGTATCCACCATTGCCCTGGTGGTCTTCCCTCTGATTGCCATCGCTACAAAGAGTAACCCCTTCCCTTGTTTTGTTGGAACTTGCATCTCGTTCAACAGTTGAAGAGATCTCACACGTGCCTCCATATCGTTTTCCTTATCATAGTTTTCTTCCTCCTTATGGCTTGCAAGGAGAGAATTGAGGGTCTTCTTCTGAGGGCAATCCCTTGCCCAATGAGGTCCTTCACAAAGAAAGCAGCGGTTTTGATAGAGTTTGTTGTTAGTCTTCCCCTAGTCCCTTGCCTTTGTCGGGGTTGATTTGCGGCGTTTCTCCTCCTTGTGTTTGACCTTGTCATCCCCACCTTTAACATCACAACTCCTCTTATCTTCAAGCTTTCTAGACTCTTTTGAATAATCAACCAAGCTTTCAACAATCATGATGGCAGTGGCCAGATCTTGCACTCTTCGCCTTCTAAGCTCGGTCTTTGTCCAATGTTGTAGTCCATCCATAAAACTGAAGAGAGCATCCTTATTTGACAAATCGGGGATTTCAAGAACCAAGCTTGTAAGCTCCTTAATGTAGTCTCGAATCAAACCCTCATGCTTAAGTCTTCGCAGTCGGGCTTGAGCCTCATCTTTGGCATTCTCGGGATAAAACTGTCTCTTTAGCTCTCTCTTGAAGTCATTGAAAGTGGACATGGAGTACAAACCTTTCTCTACATCTCATTTTCTTCTTCTCCACCAAAACATATCGATGCCCGAGAGATAAAGAGAGGCAAATTGTATTTTTGCATCTTCATCGACAATCCCCATCGCTCCAAAATATTGCTCTAGTCCCCATAGGAAGTTCTCTACTTCTTTCACTTTGCGAACCCCTCTAAAACTCATAAGTTTTGGAACTTCAATCCTCTTGGCTTCGAAAGTGGGATGACTTGTGGATGCGCTATTGCCCTCTTGCACAGCAAAATGTCTCCAAACATCTCCTTCAAGCTAGTACGCATGTCGCTCATCTCCTCCTCATAGGCTCTTCGCACCTCTTGGAGCTTCCCCAACAAATCCTCCTGCAACTTAGCCATATGACCCATTAAGGTCTCCTCAAGTTGGAGCATCATACCTCTGATTGTTGAATGGATGGTGATGTCCTCCTCGAGTTCATCAACAATTTGGCCAAAAACCTCTACTTGACCCTTCATGTCATTCATTGTCTCCTCCATCCGAGCAAGGCGTGAATCAACGCCATGCATGATCTCCTTGGACCTCCCATATAGCTTGGGTGCAACGGGATCTCTTTGCTCCTGGTGACCTCGCCTTTGAGATGACTTCACAATAGTGGCTTCCGACTTTGTCACGTGCTCTTTGATGTTTTTTTTTCATTCCTTCGAACCAAAACTCTTATATCAACTGTCACAGACTAACTTTGCTCTAATCACCCGTGCGACTTTAGCGCTCTCCTTTAGCACTAAATCAGTCTAATCCTCACAATGCTTAAGTTTGTGAGCACTAAGCACTTTTAAGAAGAAGAGTAGAGAGAAAGGAACACTTCACACATGAATACTTAAAAGTTTTGATTGACTGTTTGGGTGATTACAAATGAGGGGAAGGACTCCTATTTATAGCCCCCTCCAAGCCTAATGGAACATTCTAGAATACATTAGATTATTCTAGTTTCTAGAAAGTTCTATACTTCTCTCTCATGTACATACATAACCCTAGAATATTCTAGTTTACTCTTGATTTTTCTTAGGAGTTTTCCCTTCTAGCATTCTCCGGAATATGGCGGAATCTTCTAGAGTCCCTTTGATGCTTCTCTATTTTCTGACACTCTCTAGAACTTTCTATCCCATAAAGGTCTTGTCACTTTCTAGAATATGGCAGAGCGTGACACTAAGCTTTGGTTTGCTACTCCTATCCTTCTCTTATAAAAATTTGCAACTTAAACTCGCAAAGCACTTGAAGCAGAAGCTCTCCAATCCCTCTTTAATAAAACCTATTATTAACAATTAATATATAAATTTAAACTAATAATTATTCCCAAAAAAAAAAAACTTATAAAACCCTCACCTTACAAATGCTTAGCCCTTACCATATGTGGTTCGCTCGGTTCGGCTTCCCCCCTATGCACAATGATTTCTTCCCGCAAACAGTCACGTTGCGAGCCCTCCCTTCTTCTACCGTGCGCAACACCTGGTCAATTCCTTCTCTCTAGCTCTATCTGACCGCATGCGGCACTCCTCCTTTGTCTTATGTTAGATCCCGCATAGGAGTTGCTCAGTTCTTCTTCTTTCCCTCGCACCAGAGCCACTCGATTCCCCTTCTCCAACACGCAGAGCTTCCTTCTTCCCTCTTCTCCTTTCCTTCACACCTTAACCAATTGACCCTCCCGCATGTGGGAAATAAGCACCTCCCCACTACGACAGCGGCGTCTTCTTCCATCTTCTTCCCGAGCACATGCATTCGGCGAATGTTAATGTCGTCTCCTCCTCCTTTTTCTTCTTCTTCTCTGGCTCTTGCTCTCGTTCTCTCGTCTGGTTCGTTTCTTTGTTTCGAGTGGGACACTCATCTCCTTCAAACAAAAACTTCAAAATGATGAACCAATATTAGGTCAGGAGTGGGGCGCCACGTGTCAACTGGCTCCACCGTAATATATTTCTTTTTGTGTTATTTAATACGTGGAGCCCCACCATTAGAGTCATAATGCATTAGTACTCCTGACCTAATATTTTTTTTCCAAAACGATTGCTTCCTTCGAACCATCTTAAAAGAATATTCCTCTCCTCATTTCTTAATATGGTTGTTATTATTTATATTTTTAGTTATCACAGACGCATCAAAATCATCACAAACTGGGGATTTCAAGTTAACGCATATATTTTAAAAGGACTTTATGCCAAAAAATGCTGGAACATGGGATTTTAAGTTAACGCATATATTCTAAATTTTATTTGAAAAATCATAGTACATTTTCACAAATAAAATCAATAAGCTCTCTTCTTGTTGGAAAGAAAAAGGCATAACTCGCACACTCAATCCCATTGCAGAATAATATTTACATGTAATGTATAAATACACAACAAATAAACAACTAAAATGACCAGGCAAGCTTTTCCGCATTTACCATATAAAAACAAGCATTCACAAAGTGCGGAATGAGATAGTAGAGAAGTAATAAGCCAAAACATACAGTTCTTCTACATGCAGATATCCATCCGCCAACGTAGAGTTAAAGCAAATAACCCCTTTCCAGTTTGATGAGCATGGATCTCCATCGCTCCAAGTCCTCAAATTATTCATTGGGTCAGACAATTTGTTCCTGATAGCCTTCAAAGCAGCGACTGTTTGTGAAAAGGGGGAGAATAGAAAGTTTTAGGGACTCATTTTAACAGAAACTTAATGGATTATAAAGAAGAAAAAAGGTATTTTAAGATGATTAGATGGGAGGTTATTCCAAATGTCGTTTTGAGTGGGACAAGGATTAAAAAATATAAATGATAATAAATGCATTTTACTAAGAGATTTCTCCAAAAATAAAAGTTGTTAAGCTTTCTCTTAAAAAATTTCGGTTAAATTTATGTCACTAATGATACCATTGTCTGGTGGCCATGGGCCTTACCAATGGTACTGATATAAGAATGCTGTAATAAGCTGGACATAGCCAAATTAAATCCTCCATATTCTAAGTATTATGCTCGATAAGCACATATTGAAGATTCAAGTGAGATTCTTTAATCAGTTTCCCCAAAAACTCCATCATAGAAACTAAACTTTCAATAAAAGCCTTTTACATGTGTCTTAAGGAGAAAAGAATAATCAATTCCAATGTATTGATAAAGTACAAGACATGCATCTAGATATTTTTATAATTCCTTAGTCTATTTTAGATTTCTCGTAATCAGTTTGGATTTATGTCGGACAGGTCTACCATGGAAGCTATATGTTTATTGAGAGGTTTGCTAGAGAAGTTCAGAGAGAATAAGAATAATTTACATATAATTTTTATTAATTTAGAAAAAGCTTACAAAAAGGTTCCAAGAGAAGTCTTTTGGAAAGCTTTAGAAAGGAAAGGTGTTGACATGACTTATATTCAAGTCATTAAGGATATGCATACTAGAGTTGTTACTTGTGTTCGAACAGAAGGAGAATTGACCAAGTATTTTCCTATTTCAGTTGGATTACAACAAAGATCGGCCTTAAGCCCATATCTTTTTGATTTAGTTATTGATTCTCTTACTGGAAATTTACAGGAGATTGTACCTTCATGTATGCTTTTCACTGATGATATCTTTCTTGCGGATAAGACTAGAGAAATAGTTCAAGAAAAACTTGAATTATGGAGGTCTACATTGGAGTTTAAATGCCTTCGTTTGAGTAGAAATAAAACTGAATACATGGAATGTAATTTTAGTGGTAGTGGCAAAGTTGTAACTATGGGTGTTCAAATCATTAAAAGGTGTGAATGTTTTAGATATCTCGGGTCTATTGTTCAAAGTGTCTATTGTTCAAAGTGATGGTAAAGTGATGGTAATATAGATGGGGGATGTTATTAGTAGAATTCAAGTTAATTGGTAGAAGTGGAGGAATGTTTTGCGTCTCTTGTGTGATAGAAAAGTACCGCTTAACCTAGATGGAAATTTTTATAAGATGGTTGTAGTCCTGCAATGCTCTATGGCGCAGAAAAGCATAAAACAAAGTTAAGTGTTGCTGAAATGAGAATGCTTAGGTGGATGAGTGACTTGACACTTAGAGACAAAATGCGAAATGAATATATCGATGATAGGGTTGGTGTAGCTCAAGTGGCGGAGAATATTAGAGAGAGTCATCTTAGAAGGTTTGGTCACATTAAATGTCGACCATATGATGATCCAGTTAAGAGAGTTGAGGTTTTAGCTTCGACTGATGTTAAGAAAGGTAGACATAGACCTAAGAGGACTTGTTATATTGTACAAATATTTTAGATTATTTCTAAGATTTTATTTCATTTTAATGTATTTAATTTTTAAGACTATCATTTTTTTTCAAATTAATGAAACATATATAAGAAATGAAAGAAATACACATCCAATAATTTGTAATGGGATTGCGGAGGATAAGTCCATGAAACTATTTTTTTAGTTTCAAGAAAGAAGTTCGTGATTTTTTATGTAAACATGAATTCATGGAATAAGCAATATCAGACGGAGTCAATTTTCATAGAATAGGTTTAGACAAAAATATCAGTTTCATTAAATAAGAAATAACAAGTATAATACTTCCTTTGGTGCAAAACCTGATACGTTCATCTTCAATATGACCTAAGAATCATGTTAATTTATACATAAACGCTAAAGAAATTTATTCAGTATTTTACAGATCAGATTAATGAGAGCTAGTTCAGGAAGTAAAAAGCAACTAATATAGTAATTTGAAGTGGTGTATCATCAAAAATGAATTTGTGGAATGCACAATAATTTGAGTCCTTCATTGTTCTTATAGACAATGGTTTTTCATGTGATGTGAATTTGTGGAATACACAATAAAAGATGTAATTTTGCTTCAAAATTGTTTAGAAAGAACATCGGTTTGACTATATAAGAAATAACAACTATAATGTTTCCTTTTGTGCAAAGCCTGATATCTTTCTCTTCAATATAACCGAAGGGTGATACTGATTCCTTACAAAAACACCCTACAAAAATTACTCCTAAACTTTACAGATCAGATAATAAAGGCTACTCCCTTAATATAGAAATTTGAATAGACATATCATAAAAAAATGTCCTTTTAAAACGGAAGCTAACCCAAATTATTACAAGACAAATGATCGATAATCAAAACCATTTATCGGTATAATCAGAACAAGTTGTAAAAATATACTTGCTATGGCCCAATCTATGAGCCTTCAAGGAAATACTTTTGGTGTGAAATTTCATGAATTCAATACATATCAGTGTGAAGTATCAAAACAGTGTGATTGAATTAACAGTAGGCTCCATGGAAAGAAATTCTTTGACCAAAACAAAAAAAAAGAAAATAGAGCCTATATTCCCTCAATTTGACCAAAAAAACTCATTCGCAGGTTACCTGTAAAAAAAGCACAGTTGCATTTACCTTCAGACGGATCAGTTATCTGTGCTCTGGCGGGTTGCACAAGAAACAAGCATGAAACTGCCACAGCTGCTCCGAACAACAAAATTTTACCTCCCGACATTTCTCAGCTTTATCAAAACCAGCAGCCAGAATCTCAAGGCTGAAGTTGACGTGAGGAGTAACTATACTAACATAGTAACACAGATCAGCAAACTGTATACATATAAAAAATAAAATTTTTAAAAAAATAACCCTCAAACGCTCAAACAAAAATTACAATTTCTTCCGGGAGATGCAAGAACTATAAACAAACAGAGAGAAAGCACATCCGGACTACAAGAAATCACAGATTTTGAGTCCATGAAAAAATCGACAAAATATATGCAACTACTACTTGTCAATTCAAAACCATCCAGCTCGTTCCCATTCAATTGTCATTGAAGAGCATTAAAAACTCGTCAGTCCTTTAAGTAACCAAAACACAACGACCATAAGTAAAAAAATTTCAAACAACCACTGATCAGAACCTAAAATTTACGAGCTCCAAATGCTAAAACAAAAGAATACCTCCGCAAATTCGTCGTTCCAAGACAAATCCTAGAAATCCACAAATAGAAACTTATAGTCTTCTTCCAGGAAAAACGCCATCGGTGATCTATGGTCATCCCCAATCCTCTGACCGAGTCCATTAATTGTGAAGGGCAGAAAAGGTACGAAGCTGACATCCTCCACCCATCTACCTTTAATTAATGTCTTAAATCCCATGTTTCTTTGTTGAACCAATCGATGCTCGTGGAAGAGTAAACTGTTTTTTTTTTTTTTTTTGAAAAAAGGACAAGGGGGAGATATGGATTTGTTTATGTTTAGGGTTTTTGAAGGGTAGAGAGGAAGAAGTTGACGGCTTTTGGATCAACTTCTGGTTGGAAAAGCCGGCGGTGACTTTCACAGTGTGGCGCGACACGACGCGCTAACCATAGAGGTTAATTATATTCGAATTGCGAAGCTGAAATTACCAAAATGCCATGACTTCCTTTATATTTATTTAATTAAAATTTTAGTGGTAATATATTATTAGAGCAAGAATTTTTTTTTATTAATTTCTAATTATATACTTATTTTATTAAGATATATTTATTAATTACTTCGTGTTGCATCTACCTTTATGTTGCATCATGAAAATTTTACTTCTAATTATCGGATGAAGAAGATGCCAAAGTAATTAATTTGTCTAAAGGAGTGTTAAGAAAATGACTTGTAGTTTTTTTTTGCAAGTAATGATGGATTGTGACTACAAGGGCAAAACAAACCATTCTTTTTGGGCTCACGATTTTATGTAAATTAGTGTTTCGACTCAATATTCTCATGAGTTTTCTTGTTGAGTCTATCTTTTCTTCTGTATTATTCAGAAATTGTTTTTCGTTTCTCATGTATTGAATATATTGTTACGACAGTTTTGTTGCAAACAATATTACTGCATAATGACAGAATGATCATTTATCCAGCAATAGCTGAAAAATAGTTGTTTTCCAACAACACAAATCAAACAACCAGCCAATTTATCTGAATAAGCCGTTGTGCAACAGTTTATCTGTGGCAGCTGCCTATGACGTGATCAAATATATAATGTTTTAGTTAAAAAAATTCTGAAGAATCTCGCCTATAAAATAAATGGAAGATTTACACGTGTTAACACATGAGCCTTTAAACTTAAATTCTTTACATTGACGTCACCTTATTTATACATGAATAGGTGCAGTTTATTTATATTTTTTATTTGATATGAATGTTGGAATCTTGTAGAAAGATTAATGAAAGTTTAAGTGTTAGATATGTAAATACATCAGCATTGCGTGGTATATATATATATATATATATATATATGTAAATATTCAAAAATAAATAAACAAATAAATTATTACAGCGTCAACAAGAAGAAGGAAATATAGAGATAAGAGAATGAATGCCGACCGACGACACCTTAAGAGTAGAATTTTCCAAAATTATATTTAGAATTTTCTTAATTTCAAAATTATATTTAGAATTTTTTTAATTTTACAGGCCTACGGCCATATTCCAAGAATGTAATCATGCATTATAAATTAATTTTCTATTTTCCGTAGTCTTATGGCTTTTTTTATTAATTAGAAGCAGTCAATCTTTTTAGGATAATAAAAAAATATATTTGGTACTTTATCAATAAATTCATCATTTGCACGATTCTCGAGATAATATTTTCAATAAAAAATATTCAAATTTTAGTAGAAAAGTCATCTAAAGTTATGATTTTAACAAACTTACAATCAAAATGACAGACTCGATGAGATGGATCCGTTGACACCGACCAAAATTGATCTAATGTAAGTCAAGTAAAGCAAAAATCAAGGCATCAAATCATTTTTGGAAGCTAAATGAATGTCGAATCTGGTAAGTCTATATTTGAATCGAGTGTCTCAACAAGATGAATTCAATGAGCCCAACATTGCTCAATTCTGGCATCGTTAATACACTCAAATGTTCAAAAATATATTGTATGATCAAAGGAAACTCTTCAGACCGTCCGATCAAAGTAGTTTATATTCATGTATTAATTGCACCCGGAACTTTATAAATAGAGTCACGCCTCTTTATTGAAAAAGGAGGATAGTAGAGGCTTGAGAAAGAAATTCATGTTTTGAGAATAAGTTGAAGTTTGACACCACTTTTACTTTCGTCGACCACCGCCGACCGCCATCGATTGTCGTCGACTACCACCGACTGCCTTCGACCACTTCCGACCACCACTTGTCGACCGTCGTCGATCGCTATCAGTCGCCGCTCGTCCTTGCAATAAATTTACCCACCCATCGACGTTGTAAATTGGAAGTCTTGGTAACAATTTCCCATATGTTGGATAAGTGCTTACAACTGCAATCATAATTTTATAGTGAAACTCTTCAGCCGAGTCAGTTATCATGGTTTTTCCCTTCATGACTTTTCCACGTAAAATTTGATAGTGTTTATGCTGATTATTTTCTTTCATATGAACGTGCGTTCAATTTTCGTGCAACAGTAAGACACTAATCCACAGATCTTCTACCGCATATCAATATTAAAATCAATAAAAAATGACCAACTTTTGTGTTCTAAACTAACAATTATTTAAACAAAATATTTTAATAATTTTATTTATCATAATGTTGTTGGATTAATTTTGGGACTACAATGTAATTAATAAATGTGTTGGGTCATCATTAAATAAGTCAAAATTATTGTGGTCTAATTTAGAATTAAGTTTATGACTTTGGGCACATTTGTCATGATATTATAGTGTGGATACCATAAGTGCAAATTCTAATTTGATGAGGGACAGAATTAGAATTAAGCAAAACTTTTTTGTAACCGCCTGGTAGTTACTTCAAAGGGTGATGGTCCCCAATTTGCAGATAGACACATCCCTTTTCTTGCACCCCATCAGCAAGAAACTAAGGAAAATCTGCAGATTGGAAGATCATATTTTGTGCAATCGATCTAATGGATTCCGGCACGCTTCCGCTAATCTATGGCTTATTTCTCTCAAAATTGAATGTGATTTTTTTTAGTTCTTAGAAATGTTTCTGTAACTGATTACATTAACTTTAAGATAAAGCAACGTAATTAGTAAAAAAATTAAGTTGCATTAATCTACAAAATAAATGAATAATTTAATAATCAATTATAATAAGGAAATGTGTGGACATAGCTGTTGACCCGTGGTCTTCTTTCATTAATAATTATGATTTTATATTCTTAGCTGTGTTTGAAAATAATATGGAGAAAGCCGCAGTGTTGGTTGTAGCTTTTACCGGCACATTTTGGGTTTTTGCATTAAAGAACGCATAATTAGATTTGTTCAAAGTTGTTATGCTCCATAACTCCACTCACCTAATTATTTGAAAACTCAAGCGTACGATATGAATAAAAATTAATTTGAACATTTTTTTACAAAAACAACCTTGGACAAATTATTTATATATGGGTATGTTTGAGGCAGCTTGTGCGTTTCAGGATAAGCTACTTATCATAAAACGCGGCCCGCGTTTAGTGTAAAAATTCAAACGAAGTTTCGGATAAGCTGGCGAAACGCGCGAACCAAATGTTGTACATGCGAACGTGTGACAATCCACACGTAATATTCTTCTAAAACTCAAGATGTGACATCGGTTTGATTCGTAAATCAATCAAATCAAATATAAACTAAAATACGAAATCCAAAAAATTAATGTAATATAATTTTTATCATATCCAATCTAAATCAAATCGAAATGTAATTTAATCTCCTGACTTTTTAATAACGGGCTTAAAATAATTAAAAATCCAAAATTTATTTTAAAGTTTAAAAAACATATATATATATATATATATATATCTTCTCTCATGCTCCCTTCAAAATAAAATATTTAAAGTAATATAAAAAGCTCAATTCTTCAAGATACTAATACTAACTCCTCGAAACATTAAGGGTCCGTTTGGGGCAGCTTGTGCGTTTCAGGATAAGCTGTTTATCCTGAAACGCGGCTCACGGGCCTACCGCGGGGGTCGACCCGTGGTCTGCATTTAGTGTAAAAACACAAACACAGTTTCGGATAAGTTGGTGAAACGCGCGAACCAAACAGTACGGCGACGTTTTGGAAACGCCGTCCGCACTTATAAGCTGCCCCAAACAAACCCTAAGTTGCTTAAATCACTAAGAAAATAAATAGCTAAATAAAAAAAATTTATGAATTTTTAACAATTATAATAATTCAATCGACAATAATGTGGATTAATTCAGCTCTTTTGTTCTGAGTTGGACCAATCCTCAGTTTCTATCCATGAAGCTTGTTGTGGCAATTGCAAACACGATCCGATAGACACAGAATAAATTAGTTTCTGCAATTTACGGGATCAAATTTAAAAGAAAGAAGTTTGATATTTTGAAATTTATGCGAATATATAAGTTATTAATTTATTTTAAGAGATTTTAGTGTTTATTTTTATGAATAAAAAATTGAGCAGACAACATCGTAATTCATGGATGCATGCATTCTCTTATGACTTGTTCGTTAATGCATGCACGAACAAGTCTCATCGTCCTTAGGAGAATTGGTGGGACATGTGTAATTTTTTTTTTATTATTATTTTGACTTTGTAGTCATAATAAAGGTCGATACTATTGAATTCTGATTTGTCCGTCAAACACATCTCACGGTGTTGAATTCAAAAGTCTCCTAAAACCACGAGCAAGGAATAGAGCGTATAAGAGAGAAAATGAAGAAAATGAAGTAAAGAGTGCGTAAACTTTATCCATGATATTGACCCCCTATTTACAGAAATGAAACCTAATATCTCCCACCCAAGAGTGTGTTTGGAAGCATAACTCATGTGCATGTACCTGATGAGCAACGAAGTAAGCTAATTAACAAAAGTGAGAAGTTCATTTCATCGGTTATGACTCAAACTCAAAAGGCTACAAGTTGTACAATATAAACATTGGGAAGGTAATCATCAGTCACGATGTCATATTCTAGTAAGAAGAATAAAGAATTTGGGACTTACATGATGAACACTATAACTTCTTTGAGGTTGAAGAAGTAGAGCAACCAAGGATGGAGCAAGAAAGAGAGGAGCTCACTACACCACCAACTAAACCAGCTCCGTGTGCAGGATGACGAGGATGTATAGAAGAACAGCTTTGAGAGAGCAAGCGAATCTACAACAACAATCTTTTCATTAGAATTAAATAACAACTCATAAGATTTCGAGGTTGTTTGTCTAGTGCAACATAAATCCTAGCCACATCTTTAGGCTTTTGCACAATCACGTTGTGCGATTTAAGCCCTAACTTGCCTTAAGATCCGAGGTTGTCGTTCGTTACGACATAAATCTTCCTATCTTCCAGGCTATTTGTATGATTGCGTCATACAAATGTTTGTCCTAAGTAATAAAA